AGGAACAGGATATTTCTAGAAACAGGTGGCGTGATACTAGTCACGTGACCTCGCTGATGCAACAATATGTATAGTTGTACATATCCCTTAGCAGGAACATCAAGAGCCAGTATGGGCCCAGGGGCAAACATCTTCACGGGGCCCCCTTTCTCTCTCTTTTTTAACATTTTCAAGAATTTATTAAAAAGAAGATCCTAAGTTAGGACATCAACGAGCTCATAAACCAGACAAAATCATAGCAGCAACCGTTTTTTACCTCATAGTATAAGTGTAAAAACGTTAATAAGGTAACAACAAATATCTATTAAATCTATAAAGTAACAAATACATATTAATTATTACTCAAATTATTATTTCATTTGTTCTTAATGTATCAAGCGTCTATATGCAAAGAAAAGCCAAAAACTATGTTTTTTATCATGAAATGAAGATGTAGCCTAAATCTGTTTTGCAGGCTTTACGGCATAACCAGGTTTCATTCGCCCGGGCCCCTGGGAAGTTGCCCCCTTTGCCCCCTCCCTGTTGGTGGGCCTGTCCCTCAGTAACATTATATTAAATGTCAAAAAAGATATTAAATTAGCCCTCAATCTTCAAATTAATATGTCTGAAAGAATAAAGTACAAGAGAGCTACTCATTAAGAAATAATTGCCAATTATTTCTTGAATAATTTTATAATTCATAATTGCCTTTGCTTTTATAATATAAAGCAACAAACCATTACTGTTTGAGATTCACATTTTGTTTTGTGGAATTTTTTTTATGAACTAATCAGTTCTTTGTTAGAAGTTATTGTAACCTTAGCAATTTCAAGTTCTTCACATTTTTGTGAATATCTTTTCTACTTAAATAAGCCAAAAGTGGTTAAGAAGTAAAAACATATGAGAAAACATACCATTCCTTCAAAAGGTCCTCTAATACCAATACTAGCTTTCAACCATCTCCGCCCATGATTACTCCATTCCTCCCACAGCTTATATGCAATGGAACCATTTCTATTCAACAAGTTTACATCAAAACGAAAATCATAACGGATATTAGCTTCAGCCATATGATACCAAAATTCCAAGCATCGATCATCTTCTCGAGGCACATGAATAGTTGGGCTCTGCAAACCACCAGATAGTATTCCTCCAACAGCTGTCCATCGGCGAAGTTCCAAGTACCAACCACCTAATAATGAAAACAACAACAACTTTTCCTTGGTAACAGTACCATATTATGTTATCGTTGAAGTGTACTTAGGAATGAACCTTGTCAGTTTTACTACATTTTTAAAAAAGTCTGGCTGGCTAACAAAAACAATGAAACGAGAAGACCTTGAAAAATGTGAAAATTATAGAAAATCAGCTTTTCTCTCACGAATCACTTTAAATGAACAAATCTCTTCTTTTAATTTTGTATTTTAAGGAGCAGCAACGCTGGCTTTGTTCTTTTTTACCATTCATAATAATCGGTTTCTTGTACAAATTAAAAGTGAATAAACTGTACTTCTTCATTTGTTGCTCATTCCACAAAAGCCTGTGTTGCCAAAGAATAAAAATAAATTTTATTTTGTCCTTATTTTCCAAACTTTTCATCAAAATTTTGACTTGTAATATATGAATATTAGTCTCAGCATAAATTCTGTATATTTATGTTACTCTTCATTTTGAAAAACCTTAGTTCAAGCTTAGTTTACAATGAAAAAAATTAATATATGTATATATATATATATATATACATATATATTTGTATATAGTTTTTAAGTTACAAGTGGATTAGTCAATAATCATGAAATATTTCAAACCTCTTTAAAACTAATAGCTAGTAACTTATAAAATTCTTCAATAAAACTAGTGCTTTAAAAAAATCATAATTTGTAAATAATTAATAAAATGTTTTCAGATACTTAGTTTTTAAACACATGGTATTATCATTTATATTTTCAACATGATTCTTGTAATAATACAATACAATTATGTAATAATACATAATTAAAAAGACAGTTACCTTTGTAAAGTTCAGGTGAAGTGGTATTGCTAAATTTTCTTAATTCAAATTCAGCTCCAGGTTCATAATTATCAGACTCACATCAACTCTCAGTTGCTCCTCATCTTCAGCTCAACTGATTATCACAAAATTATAATAAACCACAGCAGTGTTATACTATATTTTAAATGTTACATATTGCTTGATCAGAATCGCATTCCTTTACTCAAGCAAACACTCACCTAGTGTTAGAGCCTGTGTTACATACTGCTTGATCAGAATTGCATTCCTTTACACAAGCAAACACTCACCTAGTGGTAGAGCCTGTGTTATTTATTGCTTGATCAGAATCACATTCCTTTACTCAAGCAAACACTCACCTAGTGGTAGAGCCTGTTTTACGTATTGCTTGATCAGAATCACATTCCTTTACTCAAGCAAACACTCACCTAGTGGTAGAGCCTGTGTTACGTATTGCTTGATCAGAATCACATTCCTTTACAGGAATAAACACTCACCTAGTGGTAGAGCCTGTTTTACATATTGCTTGACCAGAATCACATTCCTTTACTCAAGCAAACACTTACCTAGTTGTAGAGCCTGTGTTACGTATTGCTTGATCAGAATCACATTCCTTTACAGGAACAATCACTCATCTAGTGGTAGAGCCTGTGTTACGTATTGCTTGATCAGGATCACATTCCTTTACAGGAACAATCACTCACCTAGTGGTAGAGCCTGTGTTACGTATTGCTTGATCAGAATCACATTCCTTTACAGGAACAATCACTCACCTAGTGGTAGAGCCTGTGTTACGTATTGCTTGATCAGAATCACATTCCTTTACAGGAATAAACACTCACCTAGTGGTAGAGCCTGTGTTATGTATTGCTTGATCAGAATCACATTCCTTTACAGGAACAAACACTCACCTAGTAGTAGAGCCTGAATATTCTTACACACTACTAGAACATGTAACATTATACGTAACAAATTTCCATTCTCAGATATCATATCCATGAACCCTTGAAATTAAAACAATTTTATTCTAATAACAGAGTTAAACATAAATCTAACTGTTATCTTGCAGTGAACCTAATTTTTTTTAATGTCATGCATAGCATGTTTTGACTAAGTCTAACACTGCTATCATATTGTGACAGTTGAGCTAAGAATAAAAGGGGAACTTGTGAACTTGAAGCTATGACTTAATCACAAAACTGGGTGATACCATTTCTTCTTAATCTGTACACTTGTTCCCCTTTTTTTTTTAATGAAGTCTTTATAAACACCTAAACAAATGTCACCATAGCTGTTTATAAACTGATATCAAAGTATGTGTAAATATAGTCATATGATGAATGTAAGTAGATCTAACTAAAGTATTCACTAATGTCTTGAATTTAAACAGTGTATAAGAGGATGTGATGAGATTAGCTTAAATATAAAATTAATGTTACTGATTAACAGACTTAAACTAGAGCTGAACAAGATCAATCCAACAATAAAACTATGAACTTTCTGTATTCTGTAAAATAAACAAACTTATAAACAAAAAGAATAAAGACTGAAAAAAAAAGGACCTACAGTTAGATATCTATAACGCTTCATAGCAAATACCTTCAGTAAGAGCAGCTTTGGTGTGATCAGATGGAGGACCTAGGTTACCAACTGGAGAGGACCCACTGTGCATGATCCAGTTTAGTTGATCTTTGTCATCTTGTTGCCATCCACATAGATTGTCTTCAAAGTCACAATCAATTGTATCAATTTCATCTGTAAAAAAAAAGAAGATATCAATCATGTTATGTTCCTTGTTATTTAAAAAAAACTTTGTTAAAGTAGTTTCTTTAGCTTTCTTTTTAAACTATATTATATCTTTATAACTATTCATACTTGAAAACAAAAATTGTCTAGATGGTCAAAATCGTATTGATAAAACAAAGAAACACATAGCAAAACCACATCAGGATCACCCCATATAACTAGAAAGTGCAATAAAAATTTAAAGTAATTTGTATCATTAAAAAGAAAAGGTGACTAATAGACTTTTCAATTATACAACATTAACACTTTTAATTTAATGAGTTTTAGATTGCTTGGCAATCGTGTGAAGTTAGATTGGCTATTAGTTAAATCTGAAACCCAAGCAGATGGATACTCAACAAGTGGAAGAAATTACACAACTACAAATTTAATTGTTTAGAGTCTGTTTGATAAAGCAAATAAAATAAAATATGCAACTGCTTATACATGAAATGACTTACCAATTAATGGACACAGTGAGTCTAATAAAGCCACATCATCTAGAATTATATCAATGTTACGTCCATTTTGTTCTTTCCATGATTCAAACAAAACCTGTTAAAAAGGGTGGTAATCAAAATATATAATTGGACTTTAATATATTAAAGATGTGTATGCAGTTATGGCATTCAGAAGAAAGCAGTTAATTGATTATTGTAAAAGTAGGCTCATTTTTACCATGTGTATCCTGTACTGATGTATTGTTGTGTGTAAGAAATGTTAAAATTTTGATATGTCACTTAATATATACATTTACAATAAAAAAACAATAGTACTTGTAATTATTTTCCTGTAAATTAAATGAAAATTATGTGAAAATTAATTGTTTTCTCTAAATCCAATATACAGCCTACCCTGCCTTCTAAAGGACCTTCCAAAGAAATCTTTGCATTCATGAAACGGTTTCCGTGCTCTCCTAAACGGTGCCACAGTTGCTGTTTCATGCCATCCAGCTTCTCAAAGAAAACTCCCAAATACTGATTGGACTGAACATTCATATAATACCAGAATGTTAGACACTTTCGGACACCATCTTCAATTTTAATAACAGGAGTCTTTAACCATGTTCTGTCATCTTTTTTAGAACCTCCTTTTGTGACAACGTAAAACTCATCTGAAATTTAAGTATCAACAACTTTATAGAGAATAATGAAGAATAAATAAGATGTAGAGAGGGGTATAGTGTGGAAACAAAGAAGAAAGGTAATTTTAATGGTAGGATAAATTAATATTATTGTAATGCTAAAAGTATAGGAAATAAAATGGATGACCTTAGAGCACTGGCCAGAATAGAGAATTCTGATATAATGAGAAAAATTGAAACCTGGCTAAATGTAGACATTTATGATTAAGGAATATCTTTGAAATACATGGTTATAGGTTGTTTATTAGGAACAGAGTACTAAAAAGAAGGGGGAGAGTGACTTTATATGTAAAATGTGAATTACAGCCTGCTCAAGTTGAGGATATCAAAGCTAGCAGCAGTGATGTTTGGGTTTCTGTTAATAGTTATAAAGAGAGAAGGATTTTAGTTGGAATTTCTTACAGACTACCAGATGAAACTGATGAAATTAATGAGAAATTCTACAAAGAGACAATAAAATTCAACTGTTAATGAGATTATAACTATGGGAGATTTTAATTTCAGGCATATAGATTGGGAAATGTTAGAGTCAAATCATGAAGGAGACAGGTTTATAGAAACTGTTCAGGATAGTTTTTTTAACAATTGGTTAGGGAACTTATTAAAAACAATGCTGTTTTAGGTTTATTGTTAATTTATAATAAAGAAACAGTTGAGATTGGGGAACATCAAGTGATCATTGCTCTATTAGATTTGATGTTTTGCTGCATATGGATATACATATGGTTCCAAGTTTCAAAAAAGCAAATTGTGAAGGTAAAAGACAAGAATTATGGGCTGTGAATTGGGCAATTGAATTTATTGGATATGCTAGTCAAATGTGGAAATATTGTAAAAATAAATTCTTAAATATTCAAGATAGGCATGATCCTTATAGACAAAAAAGTGTCTGCAAGTACAAAATCAGGTTGGCTTACAAATATAAAGGAAAAATTAAAGAAAAGCACTATAAGTATATGAAGTTTAAATTTACTGCAATAACAAGACATTGGAGGAGTATAGAAGATCAAAAGAGTTGGTCAAATGGGAAATCAAAAAACTATATGAAAAACAGCTGGCTAAAAGTATAAAAATAAATATTAAAGATTTCTTCTAATACATTAAGGGTAACCAAAATGTTAGGATGAGAGAAAGGCTTTTGAAGGATGACACTGGAAGGCTAATATCTGATGGGATGACTGGGTTATTAAATACTACTTTTTCTTCAGTTTTTACTCATGAAGAATTAAACAATATTCCTCAACTTGAACAGTTGCTAGGTGGAAACAAGGATGAACAAGATCACATTAATTTTGAGTTTGTTAAAAAATAACTGGGAAGTTTAAAGAATCATGTGTATTTGTGTTTTTTATAATATTGGGCTATCTGCTGTATCAATCAAGGAGAATCAAACCCCTGATTTTACACACTGTAAATTCGTAGATTCACTGCTGTCCCACCGAGGGACTTAAAGAGTCATAAAGCACATGGGCCAGATAATATTTACCCAAGGGTTTTTGAAAGAGGTCAATGATTGGTTATATGAGTCACTTGTTACTATTTTTCTAAGTCCTTTCATAGTGAGCAGGTGTCAGAAGATTGGAAGTTGGCTAATGTTACTCCTCTTATAGGCCTATTAGTCTTTCATCAATAATGAGAAAAGTTTTTGAAACTTTGATAAAAGATGCTTTTCAAAGTTATTTAACAAAGGTTAAAGTTTTTTTTTTGTATAGTCTTGGGTTATTGCTTATGTAAATAAAAGTATAGGTGTGGATTTTCAGAAAGCATTTGTTATTTCTGTAGATGTGGGGGATAGTTTGGTTTACTGTATAAAAACTTGCTAGATGGAAGAAAACAAGGGATTGTTATAAATGGAGTTCAGTCAAACTAGATTAATGTCACAAGTTGGGTACCTCATGGCTCAGTATTAGGACCTTTGATCTTTTTTATTTACATCATTGACATAGATAAAAGAATGGTCAATAGATAATTTAAATTTGCTGATGACATTAAAGTTTTGGGTGTTGTTGGCTGTGAGGAGGATGCTGCTGCTTTACAAAAGGACTTGGATTATTTGGCGAGTTGGGTGAATAATAGCAAATGGCTTTTAATTATAAAAAATACAAGGTAATGCATGTGGGATATCACAATTAGAATTATGTGTGTAATTTTGATGGAAATAATCTTAACAATGTTATGGAAGAAAAAATCTTTGTGTAGTGGTTAATCAGTCTCTTAAGCCATCCAAGCAATGTGTTGTTGCTAGTGGCAGGGTAAACATGATATTAGGTTGTATCTACAGAAATACTTAATACAAGTCTTAAGATGTTATAACGTCTTTGTATAGGTCACTGGTTAGGCCTCATTTGGAGTATTGTGTTCAGTTTTGGACTCCTTACCTCAGGAAGGACATTGAATTGTTGGAAAGGATTCATAGGACGTATACTAGGATGATATTTGGGATGGAGATGTTATCATATTAGGATAGGTTAAAATCTCTGAAATTACTTTCTCTTGAAAAAAAAAAAGAATTAGAAGGGATCTGATTGAGGAACTTACAACTGTTAAGGAAATTGGTAGTGTTTATGCATCATCTTTTTTGCGATTTAATGGTGAGAATGTTAAGATTAGGAGACACAAATACAAATTTTAATAGAGAATAAGTTCTTCAGCTAAGACAGCTTTATTTTTCTAAAGAGTGGTTGGTAGAATGGATGTGGTGAATGCAGTTAATGTTAAGGAAAAGCTTGATAAACATTTTAATGATACGGGCTGGTTTTCAGCTTTTTTTTGAATAGGGTTTAGTTTACTTTATGTGACAGGACAGTCTAGATGGGGAAAAAAATGTCCCTTGTTATCCTTTAATGTTACGTTACATTAAAAAGTTATACAAAACTTTAATGTGGCTTGTAACACATATATTAGCCTGTGTACATAACCAATGTAGCTTATAACACACTAATATGTACATAACCAATGTGGCCTAAAACACACACATAAAACCAATTTGAGTGAAATAAACAGTAATAAAAAACTTGGGTTCCTACCATTATTAATCACAATTATTGTAAATGTCTGGATACAATGGAACTTCACATCTGATTGTTATTTGGTGAAAAATAGTTTGATATAATAATTTCCCGAAATTTCAAAATTTTAATTAATAATAGTGATTACGAAAATAGTACCGACTTCTAATAACACCAAATTTGACCAAACAAATGTGATGCCACATAATAATAATTTAAGACATTCATAACTTATAAAAGCCCTCAATCTTAGGCCCTTACAACCACTACTTTCATAGGCTATTTTTAAAAAACGAAACAAAACTTTACTAAAGTGTACCTTTGCAATTCTCTATACGGGTCTGGTGACAAGTGGCCTTTTCCATTTCCCAACGGAAAGTTCCACTTCCTCCACGATTCCATCCGCATATACCATCAACAAATGTACAGTTGATGGAATCTAGAACAATTTATGGGACAGAAATATAATTACTTCACACACATACATACTTACATTTGTATTTATATAAGAAACCTAAAACTCCATTCCAATATGAAATAAAAAGCACATTAAAAACAAATATATTGGATAAAATAATAATATATTACTGTTGTACAACAGACAAACATTTCTGTAATTTTATTACCTGTTGTATTTTGTTTACAGTATGTTTACATTTTCTAAAACTAATGCCCACCAACCAACTACTCAGGGAATAATACTACATTTTCTAAAAACTAATGCCCACCAACCAACTACTCAGGGAATAACACTGCATACAGCACAATATTGTAGAATAAAAGTGATACAATAAAATACTCTCTTTATCATGCAGGATACCTTCTTATAAGCTGACTTGTAATGTATATGTATGTTTATTTACAATGTATTATGGGCTTTTTCTTAATCTTGACGGAAGTCTACACACAATGTTAATGCAGCTTTACTACTAGCCATAATGGTTATTAAACCTACATGCAATGTTTATATAAGTTTAATTTCAATTTTTATGCAAGATTAGATATATAATATTTATAGAAACTGACTTGTTCAGTTTATGTTTTGTATGCATGTATCAGGACTTAACACAAAGCTACACAAGAGTTGTCTGTGCAGTTGTTCCTAATTTTCAATTGATAGGCTATTCTGATCGAATTGTGAAATCTGACCGTTTATCTTATAGCACACTCATGGTCCCAGAGTGTGGAGCACATTTTTGGATTCACAGTTTAGGCACATTAACCACAATACCATGCTCAGCCCAGCAATGTTTACGTAAGCCCCTTGTGGTATCTGTAAACACTAATCACTATTCTATACCCAACTCGGTAATGCTTACACAAGCCCACTTGTAGTATCTATATATTATAACCACTATGCTACACCCAACTGAGTAATGTTTATGTAAGCCCCTTCATGGTACCTATATATGCTAACCACTGGGCCATGCTTAGCCTAGTAATGCATATTTAAGTCCACTTGTGGTAACATTTATGAAATTCACTGTGCTTATGTTGGAATTTACATAGAATTTACTGACCCCCCCCCCTTATTCACCCCACATGGTCTTCCTCACTTATAGCAAATTGTACACACCCTCCTTCATCCCCCTGTAGTGAACATTCCTTTCATTTCTATACACTAAATACTTACATGCAAAGCACTTTCCTTCTATGACTTTAATATCATCCAGTGCGATATACGTTTTAGCATAGCTGTGATAGAAGTTTTGAACAACAAAGGCAGCCTTTATAAAAGAAAACAGCTTGGATTTAAAAGTTATATCACATTGTTTAACAACACTTTTAAATCAAATCTATTTATTCTTTGAATCTATGATATTATATTATTAATGTTACCTTGCTACTTTATAAACCAGAAGAAATGCAGTAGAAAGTAAAACTGAAATTTTAATTATTTAAATACATTCTCTATAATATTTTCCAATTATTTACTATTATTTGATATTTTAAATAAAAAAACTCACAAATAAAACATCAAAAAGAATAGTTAAGTAGAATGTGGAAGTTCAGGTTTATTGGCGTATTGCAACATTAAACAGATCTCATGCTACTTATCAAGACAAGTGACAACGGACTACTGCGATCTAGATATATATATATAGAAAGAGAGATAATTTTTCTTATGTTTTTGATGTAACAACCAATAAAGCTAAACACTGAAACAGATACAAAGATTTGAAAAATTCAAAATAAGATCATATTTAACATAAGCATTTCTCACTGATGCTTTTAAATGGTTCTGTATATTATACAGAACATACTACATAAGCAGTGTTTGTAAGAGTAGCCTGGTACAAACAGTATGTACATACTACACAGCAGTGTTTGTAAGAGTAACCTGGTACAAACACTATGTATATACTACATTAGCAATGTTTATAAGAGTAATCTGGTACAAATGCTATTTACATACTACATAAGCAGTGTTTGTAAGAGTAACCTAGTACAAAACATACATAAACATCGTATGTATGAGTAACCTGGTAAAAACACTAAGTACATATTATATAAACAGTTTTGTGAAGAGTAAAATCTGAAATTTCAATCACAGATTATAATTATGGGAGATCTTAGTTTCAGGCATATAGATTGGAAAATGTTATATTCAAATCATGAGGAAAACAGGATTTTAGAAATTGATGATGATGTTTTTCTTCAGTAATTAGTTAGGAAACCTACTAGAAACAATGATGGTTTAAATTTATTTTTAACTTCTAATTAAAAAATGGTTAATAGGGTAGAATTTGGTAAATATCTGAGTGGAAGTGTTCATTGCTCAATAAGATTTGAGGTTTTGCTGCATATGAAGATAAGGAATAAGTTTTTGGTTCCAAATTGTTAAAAAAATTTGAAAAGATGAGACAAGAATCACTTGCTGTGAATTGGGCAACTACATTAGTTGAGATACTAATCAAATGTGTGTGTAACTATTGAGCTCATGGGCATAAAGGACA